AAGGCGCGCGCGCCCATGACGCCAACACCGAAGACATCATAGGGGCGGAGACGCAGCCACTACCCAAGCCTCCGAAGAAGCCTCCTACGAATAATGCTGGCAAGGATGGTGAGCATGACGACGGCGGCTCTGTCATTCTTCCTGCTGTTGCCCAGGTCTCCCACGTGCCCCCCTCGGAGCTCTCTGATTCAAAGTCGGATGGGGGGGCGAAGAAACGCCCAGTCGAAGGCCGGCGACAACCATCCAGTGACGCAGCCAGTTCTTTGCCCTTCCGATCGGCCCGTGGGAGGTTTGCCAGTACAGGGCGGAAGTATCGAAGATGCGCGAGCAGGCGCGGAGACCAGGGCCGCAGGTTTGTCCGCTGGCAAATTCGGGCCCACGGCTGGCGAGCAGGACGAATGCGTTCCAAAACAACTCGCTCTAAATAGTGCCGTGGCGTCTGGGCGATCGAGGAATGAAGGGGCGGGCGTCCGTGACGCACCCGCCAAGCTGGAGCCCGTTTCGAATGTCATACCGCCCGACTTCATGGGTGCGTCCACTCCGAGCGCCACTCTCGAGCCGGAGGCCTTGCCAATCAGGCCTGCCGCGCGGCCGCCTGCCTGTGCTCCCGTCGGCTTTCGGGTCACGGGGCAGGGGTCGGGCGGCACTGCTGCTGGAAGCACCCGGCCTCCGCTCGGAGTGAGGGCTGACGTGAACTCCGAGGCTCATAGCGTGGAGGTCGACAAGGTCCACGACAGTTTGTGCAGTCTCATTGGTCGAGGCGACTCCAGCGCTGAAAGTCAAAGGCAAGGTGACAAACCGCGCCCAGCTAGCGCAGCCCATGGCGAAGCTAGCGGGGTGATGGCCGTGAGCCGAACTCATGGTGAAGCTCGCGACGCCACTCAAGCGGTGGCAAGTAGCTTAGTAGTTGTTCGGGACATATTTGAGGGCTGCTTTCTATCTGGGGCTGCGCGCCGCGAGCTGGCCTCAGGAGCTACCGCTGCTGGTTCGTTGACTCGTGCTTCTGGGTCCACCCCTGGAGCCACTAACAGCCCGCGGCAAAACAGTGAACCGACGACGGTCCAGGCCGCCTACGGCGAGTCTGACAGCAAGGCGGCGCGTGCCGGGTACTCCGCGAAGACATGAGGGTCCAGGTCAGCGGTAATCTGAGGGCAGAAGTGCCAGGTGAGCGACGCCGTGGCCGCCCTCGTCTCCACCAAATCCCTGCCGGCCTGTGCGGTACCGTGCACAAGGTCGACTACATGGTCGGGACGTGCAGCCGCGAGAAGGTCTTCGGGGCGCTCGTTGCTTGGGACCTCCCGCTGGAGGGAGGTGTCGACATGACCTTCCGTCCGCTCGACGAGTTGCGACATGTCACGCGTGTCTGACTTGTTGCTGTTGCCCTCGTGCTCGCTACCTGGGTGAGTGACTTGTCTGGGTTGTGGGTCGCACGAAGGAGGACGTCTACGCCCTCCCCGTCACTGGCTTCGCCTGCGGCTCCGCGTCGCTCTCCTACTTCGTGCTGGACCCTTGACTCGTCCTTCCTCCACACTTTCTCCCACCTTGCCCTCTCCGCCATCGCGGCGCGAGGGCGCCTAGGCGTAGTCCGTCGGGCGCGCGCCAGCGCGGCCGTCGGGAGACGCTCGAGAGGCGCTGCGCCGCTCCTCCTCCTCCGCAATTATTCAATATGAAGACTACTCTCCCTCGTCCCCTGATGACGGCTTGAAAGTGCTCGCCCCCCCCCGCGTGTTTTTTTTTTGTTGCGCACAGGTTTCCCCGGAGTTGAGTTTTCGCCTGCATGTTTTCAAAATGCTGCTCTCGCTGAGGTGCCGGCTTCATTTTCGGGCCCCGCTCGTTCCGATTCGTGTTCCCGCTGCAGCGCGGGCTTCATTTCCGCGCTCCCGCTCGTTCCGAATCGTGTTCCCGCTGCAGCGCTGGCATCATTTCCGCGCTTCCGCTCGTTCCAAATCGTACTCCCGCTGCGGCGCTGGCCTCATTTCCGTGTTTCCGCTCGTTTCGACTCGTACTCCCGCTGTAGCGTTGGCGTCATGTGCCATGCCACGGCGTGCAGCGCAATGCTAGAATGCAATGCTAGCGCATGCAATGCCATGCCACGCCGCGCTCTACAATGTATCGCGTACCCTTTCGGGATAATTGCCTTGCTCGACATCCGACAGGGCGAGAAGAGAGGGGATCTACGCCATGGTAAGGGATGGGAGGGAGGGTTAGGATGTCAGATATGACGCGAGCGCACCTAGCTTGTTCCCCCTCCCCCTCCCTCTCCTCCTCCCCCTCCCTCTCCCCCTCCCCGTCCTCCTCCCCCTCCCCCTCCTCCTTCTCTTCCTTTTCCTCCTCCTCCCCCTCCTTCTCCTCCTCCTCCTCCTCCTCTCCTCCCCCCCTCCTTTCCTCCTCCTCCCTCCCCCACCTCCTCCTCCTCCTCCTCCTCCTCCTCCTCCTCCTCCTCCTCCTCCTCCTCCTCCTCCTCCTCCTCCTCCTCCTCCTCCTCCTCCTCCTCCTCCTCCTCCTCCCCTCCCCCTCCCTTCCCATTCCCCCTCCTCCTCCTCCTCCGCCTCCTCCTTCTCCTCCTCCTCCTACTCCTCCTCCTCCTTATGCTCCTCCTCCTCATCCTCCCTCCTCCTCCTCCTCCTCCTTTTCCCCTTCCTCCTCCTCTTTCCCCATGACACGTTTCAAGTTTCCCAGTAGTTCCAGTTTTCCTGGCGTTCCACCCGCGCCGCAGTAACCAAGGGCGCCAGGTTCTCCTGAAATCGTGGAACGCATCCTGAGCCAATCTCATTCTGACACTACTCCCGCCCGCAGGACACCATCAACAAGCTACTCGGGATTAAAGAGCTGACCCCGTGCCAGGGGCCAAGGCTTCGAGGTCTCGGCGTCGGAAATCGAGTCGGGGATCCCCAAACGGTGCGGCGACCGCGCCGTGTGCGAGTCAGTATAAATTCGGTGTTACCGCACGGCTTTGTGTTGGATCGATATAAATGGATGTCTCGGGCGATTGGGGCATCCGGGGTCCCAAAACCGTGGGGTGACGGACCGTCTGGTGAAGTCGTTTTGTGAATTTCGAGGTCACCGCACGGACTTCCACATATACTTACCCAGCTGTTTTGGTACCCCCGATTTCGGGAAGGAGGATATTGGCGAGGCTTCGCATGAGTCTTCGCCGTCGGTTTGCTGCTTAGTTGTGTCGGCGTGCGCTTCCCACGGGAGGTGCACTGGCCCCAGGGCAATGTTTGGGGCTTGAACGTTTCGTTTGTGTGTGTGTACCAATTTCCCCTCCAATGCCCACCCTTTTCTCCCTTCTGTCTCCTCTCTCTTCCATTCCACGCCCCTTCCAATAAAGTCAGCACGCGTCGTGGGGCTCGTGAGTACGAGGGGCCTCTGGCCGCGAAGGAAGTCGAGACGACTCTGTCCCCCCTTCGCTCTAGGTCTCCTAGATGGGGTCCGAGTAGATGGGGTCGGAGGATCGCGACGCATCGCCGATGCATCGACGATGCGACTAAATGTGGAGGCCGTGTCTCCCCACGCCGACGTTGCCGATGCAGCGCCGACGTCGCCGATGCATCGCCGATGCATCGGCGATACACCGGCGACGCGGCGCGATCCTTCGACCCCGCCTGCTCGGATCCCGTCTAGGAGGCCCCCCCTCTCGTCATCCTTTCCCCCCGACTCGAGGGACAGCAGCCGGCAGGTCAAGCAGCTCCCGGAGGTCCGCGCAGACCTCTCGGGTCGGCGCCGAAACGCCACGCTCCCCTCAGGCCCCAGGCGTGGCGCCCAGACGCGCCCCCCCCAGACCCACGGCGCGCAGGGCGGGGTGGCGGCGTGGTTCGGGGGGCGTTCTCTTCTCCTCCTGCTTTTCCTCCTCCTCCTCCTCCTCCTCCTCCTCCTCCTCCTCCTCCTCCTCCTCCTCCTCCTCCCCTCCTCCCCCTCCTCCTTCTCCTCCCCCCTCCTCCTCCTCTCTCCTCCTCCTCCTCCTCCTCCTCATCCTCCTCCTCCTCCCTCCTTCCCCTCCCTCCCTTCCTCCCTCCCTCCCTCCCTCCTGCCTTCTGGGGGGGGGCCTCCTCCGGAGCTCCTCGGCCCGTCTCCTCGGGAGCCCCCCTCCCTTCCTCGGAAGGCCCCCCCCCCCAGCAACGGACTCCGCGCGGGGCGGCGGCGCCCACGCGGCCCAGGTCGCGTGGGTCCGCGCTGCTGCCCGGGCGAGGGGCGCCCGGCAGTGGCGCCTGCGGAGCGGCAGCTGCCCGTGCTGCCCGCCCGTGGGACAGGGGGCTGCCCCTGCTGGCGTTCGGAGGGAGAAAAGGTGCCCATACCTCTATCCTTGTCTCGCTTTCCCCCTTCTTGGGCCTCCTGGGAAGCCCTCGTCGCCACCGCTGGACTCGCCTCGAAATTCTGGTCAGAATGCACCCCGGGAGAGGTCCGAGGAGCAGCGGTATGGGTACCTTTTGGTTTCCCCAGGCGTGTGGGCTGTGCCCCAGCAGGATGCTCAGTGGCGTCACTCGGGCCTGTGGCGTGGCGCTGGCGGCGAATCTGCGGCCCGGGCTGCATTCGGCGGCGAGCAAGGGGGGGAGGCGAGATGGGAGAGGGCCTTTCCAGAAGGGTCGGGAGTCACCCGGTCTTCTGAGAAGTTTTCTGAGCCCTCCCCGAAGACAAACTAAGTTTCTCAGAAGGCGCGAGGGCTTCTGAGAACTCCCGCCTTCTTCTGAGAAGGCCTTCTCCTTCTCACTTCCCCCTCTTGCTCGCCGCCGATACATTTGTGACTGCGTATTGGTTTCAGTGTGAGCTGATACAGCCGGACCGAGGTATAAGATCGAGGTCGATCCGGGGAGGGTACCTTAGTGCTCGTGGTGCTTGTTGGGTGTTCTTGTGCATCCTGGTATCCTTGGATGGTATGTTCGTCTTTGGCCGATGGAGGGTCTCATGTTCTTGAGGCAGGCTCTTCTGGTCCAGGTCCGACTGTACGCGTGCATTTGAACACAGCGCGTGGCGAGGTCGCCTTCGTGGCGCTCACCTGCATGCCGGGCCGGGCGCAGAGCGGCCCCAAGCGGAAGGCCACCTTCCTCAGGGCTTACGAGAACGGGGGAGTCGCGCCCCAGGCGCGTGGCGCTCGCCAGCCGCCCTGGTCACCTCTCTCTCGCCGACCTCTGCCTGGTCGGGTGCTGCTCCGACGGAGCAGGCTTGGTCGGATGCAGTCTCGGTGGTGTCCTTCTTTCTACCAGCAAGATCACACGTCAGGTGGTGAGGAGAGTGGGGGGATTGGTTCCAGATTTCGTCCTGCGATTGGCTTCGCGTCTTGTTCGAATGACTCTCCCTATCCCTCCTTCCAATTATATATCGGGTATATGATCGAAGACGCCTACGGCGAATCACCGCCGCCCCCTGCCTTTTTGGGAAGGACCTATGTGGCCAATCGTGGGGCCCTAGGTTGTCCAAGCGATCGGACTGTGTATCCTCCCAGCCGCTCTGGGTGCTCTTCGGGGAACAGTTGGGGGAGGATGAGGGGGAGGGTCAGGAGAGGTAGGACGAGCCGTAGCCATTTTGGCTCAAGGGGCCTGCTCCTGAACTTCCAAACCTCGCTCGAGCATTGCACAACAGGTGTGCGTGTGTGCGCCCGTCCGTGAACCCTGCAGATTTTGGGCCGTATGTCCAGTAATGGCGGCGGCTATCCTGTTGGGTGTGCTTGTGTGGTTTGTGGGAATAAGCGGAGTCCCGAACATTACAAGTGGTGTTACCATTGCGGATCTGAACTTCCTCGCCTTCGCCCACTCCGTGCACCCCCCCTTCGTGGTGTCTGGGATCGTGGAGTGGGAGGCGATTACCAAGGAAGCAAAGGAGGAGGGAAAGACGTGTACAAAGGTAAGGGAAAAGGGAAAGGAGGCAAAGGAGGGCTGGCGGGACGTGGAGTCGGCGGGGGAGGAGATGATGCTCGTCGTCGTCAGCCCGCCAATACCCACGACGAGCTACACCGCGTGTACCAAATGTCCCGCAGCAAAACGTCTCCTTTCCCGCCCAGTGTCGTGCAAGCTCTTGAGACAGCCTGGTCCTCCCATCAGCAGGACAAGAAAGCCCAGGAGCCAGCAAGCAAGCAACTACAGACGCACGAGCAGGACATCAAAAAACGGGAAGGCCGCCTCAAGAAGCTCCAGGATGAGCACCAGGACATTCTGGATCGAATTGAGGACCTTCAAGAAAAATGCGATGCCATTGAGGCCCAGATCTACAATGCCGAGTTTGATTTGGAAGAGGCACGCAAAGCAGTGCAGATGGTGGGTACTGGGACCGCAGGACCCGCTCAGGACCTCACGCCAGTGCGCAACCTTCTCGCCTCGCTCGCTGCCCTTGTCCCCAACATCCCGAATGAGGAGGCCCGCCGCCACATGCAGGCCCAATTGGATGAGGTCAAGCCGCTGGTGGAACCTCCCCCGCCCGCTGTCGATGCCGCCGATGTTCCAGTGCCTCGCGCATGCCGTGGTGACAGAGCAGCAGCAGGAGAAGGAGGAGGGGGAGAAGCAGGAGGACCAGCCGACATGGAAGGAGTTGAGAGTGAGGACTTGTATGAGGCGTTTCGGAGTGCAGGGGTCAATGTTGAGAAGCGTGCCCTGCTCACAGCGTTTCGTGCCTTTCAAGTCAAGAGAGCTAAGCGAGAATGCCACTTTCAGCGTCCAGCAGATGACATGTCAGACTCAGTTGAAGACTCAGATGAAGTCCCCGCCACCTCCAGGGTCAGCGTCCGCGCCAGGGGCGACGTCGCACTAAATTTCTCAGGGACATGTACATTGTCACATACAATGGGAACTGCTGGGCTACAGCAGAAGGGTTCATCCATGAGACATCGGCATCGGTTGTACTTATTCAGGAGCACAAGCTAGGTGCAGAACGGCAGATAGAAGTCAGTCGACGAATGGCGGGTGCTGGTTGGAAATGTTTCTGGGGCCAGGCCAGCATATCCGACGCAGGGCAGTACACAGGTGGCACATGTATAGCAGCACGCAGTTATTTAGATGTGTGGTCTGGGCCGTCTGGGGCTTCAGTCATCACTCGGCATCTTGCACACTGTTATCTGCGCACGGCACAACTAGGCATCATCAGTCTGTACTCTATGTATATGCAGGACAGCATCAAGATTGCAGGGCCAAACATCCATGTATTTCGAACTCTAGGACAGCATGCACTAGAAGCTGGGGTTCCTTTCATTGTAGGAGGAGACTGGAACATGACCACCACGGAAGTTCGGGAAGGACTTCAGACGAATCTTTTGGAATGCCGTTTCAGGTTTGATCCCTCGGCTCCGCCGCATATTTTCGATGGTGGGCAAGGGAGTTCCAATATCGACCTCTTCCTCATTAGTCGGCCTCTGGAGGCAGTTGCTAGTGATGCCCAAGTGGAACTCCAGAATCCAGTTGTTCCAGGACCCCATCGACCTGTTGGGTTTAACCTTCGCAGAGTAGCTCGGGACATTGTAGTGCAAATTCGGACGCGCCATGCCACGTTCCCTACCGTCCCTGGCATCGGACCCTCGCTGGCACCGCCTGACTATGAAGCCCTCAATGCCAAGATTGACCAGTACATTGCCGACCACTCGGGGGATGGGATCACCAACAATGTTCTGGGTGACAAGAGGCTGGCAGGTCAGGCTTTCCTGGACGAGGTTTATCAGGACTGGGTAGGCAAAACATGGTGTGAGCTTCAGCAGGTCACACACGCCGACCCCAACCCCAAGTTGCTACGTGCTGGGGCTCCCATTCAGGTCACGGAGAGGCCCCTCAGGCTAAGCCTGGCCACAAAACAGAGCCAGCGCAAGCTCCCTGGAAACGCCCTCCATTGGATGAGACCCAGGCTCCAGGAGTTACGACATCTGCGAAACCAGGTCCTGACAGGAGCCGATGACAGAGTCTGGCAGTACTACAACTATCCCCTTCAATGCACCAGACGTATTCGAGATAGAGGTGGACCCTTCCGTAAGCATCTTGGCTGTGAAGGAGCTGGGTGGCAGTTCTTCCTCAACACTCTCATCGACAAACTCTACGGAGATTTCACTACACCGCATGGCACTGCACGTGAACAACATATGACGTCAACATCGGTGAGATCAGAGGAGGGAGCTTCTGAGAATATCAGTGCGGCCACTTTTGGACTGGATGAACCAAGGATTCGGATACCACATGCGCTTGATGATGATGATCATGATCCTTTTGCAGACCTGGAGGCCGACCTTCAAGGACGTGATCGTGCACCAGGGGATTCTAAGATTAGATCCAAGCCTGAGATGCTCCCCACCTCGTCGCCCACCCCCCATGATGGCGATCTGAACGCTAGGACCTGTGTGACCAGGGCCGAGACCAGGGTGGAGACTCCCGTCCACTGGTCGGCTGGAGGGGCCATGGCCAGGCCAGGACACAGGAATGCCAATCTTCCAACCGAGAGCCAAGCGGAACCTTCACCTGATACCTCTATTACTTTGGATAATCAGCTCTGTGGGTGGATTGCACTACTGGAAGTCGCAGAGAGACAGCAGGCGGCACTTTCTCGCAGGCTGAAGTCACGGGATTGGACTGAGTGGTGCCGTAATGCCTTTGACTCAGGTGGAGGTGGTGCCGCACATGCATTCACACGAATCAAACCGACCTACGAGGAGGAGGTCTACGTACGCAAGGACGGCACTGCGACTGCTTCCCTTGATGGCATATTGGCACAACATATGGTACAGTGGCATCAGGCGTGGCAAGCGGGAACAGTGCAGGAAAAGTTTGTAGACGCCCCTGCTGTGTTTCCGCATCGCTGCTCGCCAGAGTTACTTAAGAGGATTTCTCGACGATTTAAAACACATACTATTGCAGTTGACGGCATTCACCCGGAACACTTCTCATTACTCAGTGACCAGTGTCTTTCTGCCCTCACAGGGATCTTCTCGATCATGAATATGATTTCGAATGCGCCCAGCAACTTGCAGCAGGTCATTATGCAGATGTTTCGCAAACCAGTCACAGGTAGGCGACCCATTGGATTCTTCACCAGTACAGCGCGCCTACACGGAAAGATTATGTCTTGGCAAGCTCGAGAATGGGAACGCGGAACTGTTGACCATCCAGTTTTCAGCATGGCGCCTGGACGGGGACCTCTAGACGCAGTCTGGAGACAGGCCACACGTGGAGAAGCCCTTGCGATAAATGGATATCACATATTATCAGTGCTGTGGGATTTGAAGCAGTTCTATGAGCACATGTCTCATCACAGACTGTGGGAGGTTGCCTTTGAGATCAACTACCCCATCTCGGTCCTGCAGTACAGCCTCAACTCCTACAAGTGGCCGGGGAGAATTGCGTTGGACGGACTCATATCCCAACCACTATATCCCCGTCGCGGGATAATTGCGGGAACGGGCACAGCCACATACGAAGCGAAGATGTTCGTTTTCCCTGCGGCCAATGAGTGGATCAACCAGACTACGGAGCAGGCCCTCCCAAATGTAGGGCTTGCCACGCTGACAGTCCATATCGATGACCTTTGTATTAATGTGGCAGCCCGAGGATTCCATGATTGTGTGAATGGAATGTACAATCGAGCATCTCACCTGGCACAACTTGTTAACGATCTGCTGGGAGTTCCCCTTGCAGAAGAGAAACTATGCTTCACTGGGACGTCCAAGCCTTTGATGGATGCATGCAGGGCGGCCTTAGGGCCCTTGGCAGGACAACCCGAGGATGCGGTCAAGAATCTTGGCGTAGACTTCTCTCTCGGACGGCACCGACAACAAGCAGGTCATGGCAAAGTTCGGAGAAGAAGGTTTGGATTGATCAAGACACGATTGAAAAAAACTGACTGCTATGAAAGGTTCTGGGAAACAAAAAGGTCGGATATTTCTTGCTGGGGCCCAAGCATCAGCAACATATGGAGGAGAAGTTCTTGGCCATACCCCTGGAGAAATCAAGATACTCAGACGTGCTGGTGCTAAGGCCCTTGGTTTTCTTGGAGGTGCGCTCGACATTGGATGGGCCCTCCACGCGGACCAGGACCCTCTGAACAAGGCAGCCGATACTCTCAAGAGATACGCTAAAGAATGGTGGCAGGCCTCTGACGGCGACCTGCTACAAGGAGATGGCCTTACTGCGCGTGAACTGGTCAATGCATTTTCGGCCACCCAACAGCATTTATTGCAGTTGCCCCCTGGGGCTTCATGGCTCAGAAAGGTGTCTGGGCCATTATCGGATATGCACCTGTGGATGCGAGAAGCAGGCTGGGAGGCACTCAGCGCGAACATCTTCGCGGGGCTGAATGGAGAGCATCATCATCTGACGTCGACGCCGCCTGCCCAGATTGCCAAAGCTTTTATTTCTGACCTAAGAAGCCAATTTCTTAAGCCAGCCCTCCTGCGTGCCCTTTCGGAGAATTCGAACCCGAGGGCCCTGGAGATCCGCGAGAGAGGGCTTTGGTCCCTGGGCCCGCGCAGGCTTTTGGCTAGCAAGAAGTTCCCGAAAGAATATAAGCGAGTTTTAGTTCAAGTTTTCACGGGCATGTACCCCACAGGACTAACCTTACAGAGATGGGGGTACAATACCGATGGGTTGTGCCCCCACTGCCACAAACCTGATTCGATCTTCCATCGTGCCTGGGAATGTCCCTGGCTGGAGGCTGAACGGGAAGGGCAGGATGAGGAGATACGAACGATGGCGCTCCACCATGGGCCTACCGATCCCCTCTTTTCCTCGCTGTGGATGCCCTCTCCTCTTCTTCTGGCCAAGCCCATGGAGGAGCCCATCATCCACTTTTTCGGCCCAGACGGGCATTGCGATGAGTTTAGGTCTTCTAGATCGGGTCGCTTTTACAGTGATGGGAGTTGTTATGATGGGGCCATTCCAGGGGTGGCCAGAGCTGGCTGGGCTATGGTTGAAGTTTCGGAGTCGGGGCACCTTGTCCGTGGGATCTCTGGGCCCGTTCCCGACGGGGTGCCCCAATCAGCGTCTTCGGCTGAGCACCATGCCGCCTGCATGTTTGAGAGGTTTTTGGAGCCACCAGAGGACCCGGCCACCGCCGCCCCTCCCCTGATTGTAACCTCCCTGGCGACCGTACTGCACGCAGACTGTCTTGCTGTGGTCTGGGGGGCCAGTAATCACGGGCAGGCGAAAAGACATACTGGCCCCCACGCAGGCTACTGGAGAATTTCAGGCAAGCCCACATATGTATGCGTCAAGGTCAAAGCTCACAGAGATGAAGCACTGGCTATCGACAGCCAGGACCTTTGTCAGATTCGTGGGAATTGTTTAGCTGACCATGCAGCGAAAGAAGCTGCAAGAAACAATAATATGAGCAAGGAGGACTTCGAGAGTTTCACTGCCGCTCGCAATCTTCTGAAGCAGGTAGCCTTTAATATGCTCCAGATCCTTGTGCAATGGCCCCCACTCAAGGACCTCTATGGCGCCCTTGATCGGCCCTTGAGGGCCAGAGCCTTCCCTGTCCTCCCGCGGCCCCATGATCCGTCTTGGGATGGCGCGAGGTGGAGGTGCTGCCAATGCCACAGGACTGGAGCCAGAGTGCTCGCGAATTCAAAGTGTTTTGTTTTTCCCCCGACCCTGCAGGAACTGGTGACTCAGGCATGCCAGTCGAGCTACCCGCACTCCTTGTGGTGTGCTGTCAATCGGAGGTCAGGAATTCCACTTTTGTTTTGCGGCCGATGTGGCCACATGGGGAGTGCCAGGGCCCGCCATCTGTGTGGGCCGTGCAGGCCCTCCCCCAGTTCCTTGAAAGATCTGAAGAAGCTGTGGAAAGGGGCCATCCCAGGGAGTTCAGGACAGACGATCTCTGAACCTTGGCCCCTCCATGCTGCTCCTCTTCCCAATTTTGGTCGCGCCCCCTCTTCCAGGTTGCTCCTTTCCCTCAAGGAAGGTACTGCGAGAACCTGACGCAGGCGGGCGCTCTCTCTTTCTTCTTTTCCTGGTAGGGTCTCTGATCGACCAGGTTTCTTCATGGAACGATGGAACGACGGTAGGACGAGGAGGAGGAGGAGGAGAAGGAGGAGCAGGAGCCGGAGAAGGAGGAAGAGGAGGAGGCCTATTGAGTCTCTTGACAGCCTCTTGGTTCACGCTTGGAGCCTCCTTGGAGCTTCCTAGGAGCCCCTTGGAATTTTCTAGGGGGCCTCCCGGGGGCCTTCTGGGTTTCTTGGAGGCTTCTTTGGATGCCTAGTTGGCAGTCTTGGGGCGGTCCTTGCCCATCTGACGCCGTCAGAAGCCGTCTTGGGGGCTCTGTGTCATTAGGGCCCTCCTGGGGTGCTTTCGGGCCGTCTTGGAGGTCATCTTGGGCGTTTTGGAGGCCTCTTGGGCCGTCTTGGGGCCCTCTTGGGGCCGTCTGGGGGGGCTCTTGCGCCGTCACTGGGCCAGCCTTGAGGCCTCCTGGGCGCTCTGGGTGCGATTTGGGGGGCCTCTTGGGCCGTGCTGGGCCCTCGGCAAGCCGAAGAGAAACAAGCGCCAACATCCTGCAAAAGCTGGGGGACATCAGTGATGTTGGCCCTCGCGGGCATTCCCAGAGGACCCCTTAGGATGCAAAGGGCAAACGTCTGGGGAGGTCAACACGGCGGGGGATGGGGCCGTCCAAGAGCCCCCATTGGGCTCCGAGGTTAGGTGGAGGAGGAGGAGGAGGAGGAGGAAGCGGAGGAGGAGGAGGAGGAGGAGGAAGCGGAGGAGGAGGAGGAGGAGGAGGAGGAGGAGGAAGAGGAGGGAGGAGGAGGGAGGAGGAGGAGGAGGAGGAGGAGGATGAGGCGGAGGTGGAGTCGCGCCGCATCGCCGATGCGTCGGCGATGCTGGTCGATGTGGGGCTCGACTTTACTCCTCCTCTCCTCCCTCGGTCTCCTCCCTCTGTTTCCTCTCCCCTTCCTCGGCCACGTTCGCAGGATTTCTCATTCCTAATGGCCAGGCCGCTTCTCTGCATCTGTGGCGTGTCACCTCGTTTCGATTGCATGGGGTATTTGAATTAGGTGTCCGTGTGGAAAAAAGGGTGTGGGGCCCGAGTTCCTCTCCTCTCCGCAGGTCGCCGCTGCGTCGGCGATGTATCGGCGATGCGGCGCGGCACTCGGGCCCCACTTGTTCGGGCCCCACCTGGGAGACCTCCAGACGAAGAGGGGGGCTAGCACACCAAATGGTTGCCTCGCGCGGGCGCTCCTCCGGAGGCTCCCGCCCCCTTCCCGCAGGGCAGCGCCAGCCCTGGCCAGCGCGCGGACCCCGACGTCGTGAAGTCGTCCTCCGCCGACGACATGTTCCTGAGGTCGAACACGCTCGACGGCCTCACGGAGCCAGCCCTGCAGAGTCCCTCGCCCCTCCTGCCTCCCCTCTTCCACCCGCATGCCGCCCCCACATGCTTCGAGCGAACGCCTACGTAGAGGATTGCAGAAGGGACCTCGCACTCGAGGAATCGACAGGATTGTATCCCTTCCTCGGCGGAAGCTCGGCGGACGGCGGCGGACGTAAAACGAGGGCGCCTCCGCTGGCTGAAGCCGGCGGAAGTGAAAGATGCGCCACCAAGAGATTGCAGCATTCCCCGAGCAGCGCTTGCACTTAGAAGCGTTTACATCTTTTCTGTGGAACTGGGCCCTTCTGCGGGCCAGGCGGCCCCGTTCCCGTCCGTCGCCTTTTCCTCTTTACCTAGAAGAGGCCCGCTTCGGGGCCCGGCGGCCTCGTTCCTGTCCGTCGCCGCACCACCTAGCTTGCACCGCATAGGCTGCACCACGTAGTCTTCACGGCATCGATTTCACAGCATAGCTTGCACCACACAGCTTGCACCACGTCGCTTGCATCACGTACACGGGAACACACAGCTTACACCACATAGCTTGCACCACGTAGGTCACACCACATGTAATGTACCATATAGCGTACACCACGTTGTTGTTGCCTCTCTACGAACGCAGGCTCCGTGCGCTCACGCTGACGGTTCCAGCCACGATGGCCTGGCCAGCATCTCTGTGAACGGTCTCGTTGCTGGCGCTGCTAGCGAGCACTCACGCGCAGAGTATTATCCAGATGCTCGCCGTCTCACGGGCACTAGGCCGCGCGACGGCTCCCTGCAGGCTCCGCGCTGGCGGACTGTCCTGCCCTGTGACCAAGACTGCACAATCTGCTTTCGAGGTCTGCGCTCGCAGGCACTCCCTCGGGACTCCATCTCGCCCCAACTACTTTCGAGGTCGGTGCCCGCATGCGCTCCATCACGACTCAATCTTGCCCCGCTTGCCGCCGCCTGAACGAGGCTCGGCACTCAGCCAAAGCTGCCGTCGTGGCTACGGCAATGTTCCACCATCAACCAAAAAAAGATTGTTGGCCCACCCCCCCCGAGGTCCGCCAGCGTCGACTCGGGGCTGGCCTCGTCGTCGCTGAATCGGAACACCACATCCTCCCGCGATAAATAAGAATAGTGTTAAGTCGGGCGCGTCCGCCGACAGGGGGAATATTCAAAAATAGTCCAAAGATAGTCTGGGGACGATGTTTTGACTATTTTTGAGCATTGTTTGATTATTTCAGGGGGACATGCCCGACCTTAGAATAGTGCCGCAGCCACCAGCCCATCACCGAGGAGAGGCGCGTGCCTTCCTGCGCCGCCCAGTGGTTCTGGCCGACTCCGTACGCCTTGCTGCTCCCCCACACTGGGGAAGGAACCTTGCCCTTGGTGGCCGTCTTCTTGATGCGTTCCCGAGTGCCAGGGTTAAGTCGGGCCTTTCCCTCTATAGGGGAATATTCAAACATAGTAAAACATAGTCTGGGGAGGATTTGTTTGATTTTTGTTCCATGTTGGGGTATCTTTGAAATATGTTTTATGTTTCGTCCCAAATCCGTCTGTAGGGGGACATGCCCGACCTAATGCTAGGAACAATAGCGTCCACCACCCCATGGATCCTACCCTCGCTCACATCTCCGAGGCCGTATGCTCCCTGCTGGACTCCTCGCCGGGGCAGCTCCTGCACCCGCTGCCAGGCGCAACGGGCAGAGACATCGCCTCCACCCAGCCGACAGTCTGCGCGTGCACGTAGATGCTGTCGTCGATGCTGGCATTGACCACGCGCACCTCGCCGCTTCCCCTGGGACCCGCTCGCCTCCTCCTCCTCCTCCTCCTCCGCCTCCTTCTCCTCCTACCCCTCCTCCTCCTCCTCCCCCTCCTCCTCCAGCTCCGTCTTCTCCTCCTCCTCAATCCCCCTCCTTTCAGCTGTCCGTCTCCGCGCCGACCTCCCTGAGGACCCTCACCGCTCCGGCCACGACCCGCGCGACATCGTTGCCTTGGTCCGCGGCCTCCACCTGACTGCCCTCCGACCTCGGAAGCTGCCACGTCCAATGGCACGTTGTCCTCTCCGGGGCCAGCTTGCTCATGATACATGTTGGCCTTCTCGGCCTTCCCACTCTCCTTCGCGATTACTCTGGGTTTCTTGATAAGCGTGGGGGGGATCCCCCCGACGGGGGTCAACCTCGCCTCGTCGTCGCGCCGCGACGGGGGTCGGAGCGCCTTCGGCGCGCGGTGGCTACCCGCGACGGGGGTCGATGTGGGGCTGTCGGCGGGGGTGACGCCCCCCCGACGCTTGTGAAGAAACTCGCAGTACCTTCGCGATGCCAGCGATGCTGGCGACGACCACCCGCACCTCGGCCTCCTGGAGCTCCACAGCGACCACGTCCGACTTCCAAAAGTTGTCCTCGCCGCAGTCCAGGGCTGGACCTGAACGCTGTTGTTCTGGACTTTCGGCTGTGTTTTGTGTTTCGTTGTGGCCGTGAGGTACAGGAAAACGGACAGAGCAAAACGAACAACAAAACGAACACAGCACGAAACACAGCGTTTAGGTCCAGCCCTGCGCCCTAGTCGCCCTGCTCCGCGTTCGCCCTCACGGCCCTCGCGCTCTCCTTCTGGTCGCCCTCGAGGCTGGTCTCCAGCACCTCGGCCACCGCGGACTGCACCTCGCCGACGTGCGAGCGCTCGAGGTCGTAGCGATCCTCCCGTGCCGCAGGCGCGGGCGCCTCCGCCCTGCCAACGGACGGGCCGCCGCACTCCTCGAAGAAGCGGCAGGCAGCCACCAGAAGGAACACGACCCAGGCGCATGGCCCGTGCCTCCAGCACCAGCACAGGAGGAGCAGGAGGAGGAGGAGGAGGAGGAGGACGGCCATCCCAGGCTGAGCGGCCGACCGCTTCTTGCGCTTCTGCCTCCGTGCGCGCAGGGCCACACCCGCGCCGCGATCGACAACTCCCTCCTCGTGCGTCTGATGCGACTCCGCCGTCAGCCGCGCACCACCGTTCTCGCTGTGCCCCCCGCTGGCCAGCACGTGGGCGCCCAGGCTCGGCCTGAAGGCCTGGGCGGCGCGCCGCAGTCCCTCGCGCGGCGGCCCCTCCCTCCGCCTCCGCGGGTAGCACTCCCGCGCACTGCACCGCCGGCAGGCAGCAGACTGCGCTGGGCGGCGTCCAGACGGCTGCGCCGCAGCAGCACCAGCAACCCCCTCCCGGGAGACTCATGACCGGCCCTTTCACACGGGGATCTTGGCCGCCATGGCGGAGCGCCCGCCCATGCGCCCGCCCCTGCCCCCCCTGCCGTTCAGGCCGCGCCAAGCCGCCTTGCTACCTCGAGCAAATGATGGCGACTTGAACCAACATGGCTACGGCCACGTGGCTTACACCACATAGCTGGCACCACATAGCCTGCACCACATAAGTTGCAACACGTAGAGCGTACCACATAGTTTGCACCACATGGTTTGCACCACGTAGCTTGCGCAACATAGCTTACACCACATAGCCCACACCACGTAGCTTGCACCACACAGCTTAGCTATGGCTTAAGGTGCCCCCAGGATTTCCACGGAGCCCTTTCACGGCCTCCAGAGCACCCCTCACGAGGCTCAGGGGGCCCCAGGGGTTCCAACATGGAGCGACAAAGCTTGGGTGGCAACTTGGGTCAGGGGCACCTTTCGCAACCCGTGACACGTGGGTGCTGCACCTTTTGGCATGTGCATTCGGTGTGCGCGGGCCCATGAGTGTAGTTGTGGTGCCTGCTTGGCAGTGCGACCAAAGCAAGACAACGGTGTTGGTGGTGACGTTGTCCCTGATTAGGGGGCAGGGTGTGTTCGATGTCTGTTCATGGGCGCCGTGGGTGGAATCGGAATCACCGTTTCTTGCATCAGGACCGCATTTGGACCGCATTCGGCCTTTACTCCTGCCCCCCCTCGCCCTTTTTGTGCCTTCTTGCCCTCCTCGTTCTTCACGTTTCCCCTGTGCAGGGGCAAATCCGGCCTTAATCTGGCCCCAATATGTGCCAAATCCCGTCCAAGTCAGGCCCAAATCGAACAGCGCTGGGGGCCACGCAGACTCCCATGGAACAGAACCAAAGGTGTTGGCACGTACTCGATGTCCCACACTCGCTGTACCTGTTGCATGCTGTCCGCCGCGGCAGCCGTTGCCAGCGGGGGCGCGCGCAACAGGCGCGCCCCCATCGTCTGTGTTTCACCCTTCCTCGTAGGGACCTGCATCAACGGAGGCAGGCCAATCCAGTCCAAAAGCGTCCAAAGTCTCGATCCTCCAGGGGCCAGTTCGGTTCGATCGATTCGATCGAGCCGCCTCGATATTGACTTCGGCGAGCTCGATCCGAATTGATTCCGATGTTCAAGCGTTCCGATGCGGCATGATGTTCACATGGCGTCATTGTGCATCCTGGCGCGGACGATCAAAAGCATCCAACGTCTCAATCCTTGATCCTCCTTCCATCCGCCCTTCATTGAATAAGGGGCGTAACTGCGTAAACAGTAACTGTCGGAGGTCCGCGCAGATTTCTTGGACCAGCGCCAGGACGGCGCCTCCGGCGCCGCACTTGGCGCGCTTCGCGCGCCAGGGAGGGGGTCCAGCGCCGATCCAAAAAATCCGTGCGGACCTCTGAAAGTTGATGTTTGGTTGTTTCTCATGTTTCGACCCCAGGGCCGTTTCACTGGAGAAGGCTTGTCGGGAGACCGAGCACACTCGACGGGCAGCCAGCGCCCTTCAGGGAACCGGGCTCGTCGTCGTTGTCGACGACGGCGACTGCGACGACGCCGACGTTCCTCAACACATTCAGAGAGCTTCCGAAGCCTTGAGGGTTGTGGTGAGGGTTGGACACGCCCGAACACTCGAGGGGCTTGTGCACAGCGAGGCCCCGAATTCCAGAACGAAGCTATCGGGCGTTTCGTCAGGGGGGGGAGCGTGGCACATGGGGGAGGCGCGAGGGCTGCAGGGACGGGGCCCCAACCCCTAAAAGCGCACCTGAAGTGGCCCCCTCTGTAGTCATGCCCAGGGCTGGTGCCAGGGGGCTCGGGGGCGGGCGTGGATGATGCGCAGGTCCGGGGCCTGGCAATTCCACCTCAACTCCAGGATGCCAGCCCTCGCGGGGTGTCCCGCGCCCGCGGTGCCTCCCAGGAGTTCAAGGGCCCGTCGGACCTACAGGACGGCCCCGCCCTGCGCTTCTTTTTCTTCTTCATCTTCTTCTTATGTCTCGTCTTATTCTTCCCTCGGGCGGGCAGGGCAGATGCATGACAACATGATGGTAGTATGTTCTATGACGCACGGAGCGAGTGATATGTGCACGATACGCAGCACCCCGCGCTTGCGGACAAGAGTGAGGTGGTGGCGGTGCAGGCGAGCGCCCGCAAGTGTGGCATCCGAGTGTGGCCCCCACGCGTAGCTTCCAAGTGCAGCCCCCAAGTGTAGCCTCCATGTGTAGCCCCCAAGTGTAGCCTCCAAGTGTTGCCCCCCAAGTGTAGACCCCATGTGTAGCCCCCATGTGTAGCCCCCACGACGCTTGCAAGAGATCAGGCTGGGCCAGTTGCCATCCTGGGTCATGCTTGGTCTGGTAAGCCCAACTTGGTCGAGTGCGTTCAGCATCCCATCCCGTCCGTCGGGCCCCTCTGCGCCACGTTAGAGGCCTGATGGGGGTGGTCAGGCTGTCTTCGGGGCTGTCTTGAGAGGGGACTCGGCAACATGATGCGCCATCACGTTGGTGCGCTGTGCGCGGAGGGGTTCGATCGACCCGGAAGCGCTCCAGACTCGCCTCCTTGGTTCGGGGGCAAGCGGTGTCTTGCGCCGCCCACTCGGCGGCCTCGCTCGGGCGGTCGGGCAGAAGAGTGACCCGCGCCTCGGCGATGCCCTCGATCGCAAACTGGAACATATACATTACCAGTGGCGGGTTGTTTTTCAATCCCACGACTTTTTAAGGGTCAGGGACGACGTCGGGGTGGTGTGGTGTATACTTGTCCCCCGTTTGCCAAGGGAAACAACGAAAAATGTATACACCAGGATCCCGTATACACCAGAATCTGCGTTCCTGTGCGAATTTCCGCGCAGTGTCGGGAAAAGCGCAGGTGTATAGAGTTCGTGCCCCTACTCGAGTCCGAGGACACCCGTGTCGGCACGGGCGGTTCTCGTTGGCGCGACGGCGCCAATCCCCACCCTGGCGGCCGAGGGCCGACAAACATCGCACGCGGCCCGAACAGCGGTGCCGGCACCTCGGGTCGTGGCCACGAGGGTCTCGACGGCCCGAGGCTCGGCAATCCCGTCGGTCGTGATGGCGAAGAGGTGGGGTCGGGTACAGCCACGACCCCGGGCAAGGGATCCCGGTCAGTGGCAGGGCCCTGGAGCCCCCAAGCTGGCCAGGATCACCAGGCCAGGTCTGCCGTAGCTGGTGTTTCGGGTGACGGCAGTTCCGATGAGTGGAACGGGGCGGGGGGGCGTCACCCAGTACACATCACTAAACCAGGTCCCACTAGACCCAGTTCTGCCATTGCCCGATGGGGGCGTCGGTGATCGTTTTTGTTATTCCTTGTTTTGCCGATCGGCGCGGGACCCCCAACCCCCTCCCTCCCTCCCCATGGAGTAGATCTTGGCGGTTTTCGGCGCCTGTTTCGAGCAGGTGGAGTCTCCCCCAGAGGCAGCACTCTTTGCAAGCAGTCGCACGGAGCAGAGGTCGGGAGCCAGACACCCCTCCTCCCCCCGTCCGCTCAATGCCGAAACGCCGAACAAAAGTACGCTCACATGCGTCAGCTGGTCTGGGGACTCCTGGCGCCAATGTTGAGGCAGGCCTGTCCCTCTACGGGAGGAATATCCAAAAATAGTCAGAATGGCTTCCGTTCCCAGGCCTGCCCGTCTGGGGCAAACGGAGCTGGCGAGCCCCTCGCGCCCGAGCCGAGCAGCGATCGCACGCGGGCGCCCACTGCGACAGCACGCGTGTCGCCGCCCCTTCTCCTCCCTCTCGCTGCCACGGGCTCCGCCTCTCCTCGCCCTCTGCCCCTCCCCCCCCCCCGGAGGTTTTGTCGGCCGCTTGGAGACTGTTTTTTCGTAAGGGTCGGGCGATAACCCGGGTTATTCGGGGTTGGACAGACCTCCCACCCTGACACGTCGATTAGTGAATTGTCCGTTTTCTGTTCTCGAGAGGGCGCCGCGGCCGTCATTTTCCAGGCTTGCGACCGCCAGGTTTGGGCCTCAGGTCGTTTTCACTAAACCACGTTTTACTAAAGGGGGTTCTCTCCATCCCCGAGTTATCCCCCCCGGGATAGCCTAACCTTGCCGGTTGTGCAGGTCCGCGGGAGGGGGGGTCGCGGGCATATGCAGGGCTGCCCGCAGCGTGAGGGTTAGGTTATCGGCTGGCCCCCTCCTCCCCCCTCCACCCCGGGATAACCCGGGTTATCGCCGATTCAAAAAGCGGTCTCCATGGGAAGCCGCCAGGACGGAAACACGGAGGACCCCATATGAAGTGGTCCCCTGTGAAAGTGCAGGAAGCCATGCAAATGGAGGGGACGAGGGCAGGCCCCGGAAAGATTGAGCCATATGAGGATCTTCCCCCCCCGCATATGCTTTCGTGCGACAGACGAGCGCAAGCAGCTCCGACACGGTCGCATCCGCAAAGGGTGCCGCCATGGCAAAAGCAGGGCCCGTCTCGATTCGGTCGATCCGATTTGATGTCGATTGCGGCCAGCCCGACCCGACCCAATCTCGATTGGCGACCATGCGATGCGGCCCGATGCTTGCGTGGGTGCCGTTGGCGTGGCCGATCCACTTCGATCTCGGCTCTGTGTGGAGGCGGCTCGATCCGACGCACATTCCGATTCGGTCAGACTCCCCGGCTCAAAGATGGCTGATCTTAGGAACGCCGCAGGGCGTCAGCCGTCTGGCGCGGTCTCGCGCGGCTCGGCGATTGGAAACGGTCGGCCTCCGCGCACCGTTGTTGCCAGCATGGCGAAGTCAGTCTGGGCGTCCAGTCTCAGTACGCGCGCTGCTTGTCGTCATCATTCGTGCACCTGCGTTGAGGGTGAGGAGGGGGATCAGGTAGGAGACGGGAACTCGTGAAGTCTGAGGCAGAGAACGTGATAACAAGGGAGAGAGAGAGAGAGATGGACACGAATTACTGGCCACATGATCAGGGAGATGTTGTGTTACCCCTTGCGTCAGCACCTCGCATATCATCCCCTCCCGAGGAAGATGTGGTATCAGATGCCACCCAGGCCGCCGCTTCTGGAACGCATGCCGGCCACCTGGCTCGGAGGATGGTTTCGGTGGTCTTGCAGTGGCATGTGTCCCCGGTGGGGGGGGGAGATGGGAGGAGGAGAGGAGGAGTTGGAGCACCAGTGTAAGCCCAAGGCACATCAACGATGTTGCAATAAAAACAATCCCACCAAGTTCCATCATCATAGGTCCCTCCGACATTTTTCAAATACAGGAAAGGCCCATTAGAAGACAACCGTCTGAGAATACTCAATGGTTCGAAAAGACCTCTTCTGAAACTTCAACTCCGTGGGTCAACGTGACTGTCTCGCCCTTACCATCCTACTTCGTGCTAGAACACCGCTCTTAAGACTTCAACACCTCGAGCTAAACTTTCTGTTTAGTTCTGACAATACTAAACCGTGCCACGCTACCATTTCTGGGACTTCAGCTGTGCGAATCCTTGGGACGGTCGTAACCTGTTCAGACGAATGTGCGCGGCTTTGAAGCACGAGCCACACTTGGAAAAGGAATCGAGATCCATCTTTGCAATTGCTGCAAGGTTGTAAGACGAATCTGCGCGGCGCTGATGCGAGAGCCACTGTCTGAAAAGGTCTGGTCTTCCATCCATGAAACTGCTGCGAACGTTTAAAATGATTGTGCGCGGCGCTAAGGCGAGAGCCACATGCTGAAAACGACCCGCTCGCAATCCGTAAAACTGCTGCGCACTTTTCAAGACGAATGCTCGTGGCGCTAAAGCGAAAACCAAAGTTTGAAAACGAGCCGTCCTCCATCCGTGAAGTTGTTGCAACTTTCAAGCTTAAGGATCATACTGTTGAGGAAATCTCAGGCGAAACGCCCGGCCCGCCTTACCGTCATGTTTGGGGGGTGAAGGGGGAGGGGGAGGATAAGACGGGGAAGAGAAAAGGAGGAAGAGTGTGAGCATGACAAGGACGAAAAGGACGGGATGGGAGCGTGGGAGGACATCGGTGGAATGGTGCGGAATCGATTGCAAGACTAGCGCATCCGTCCACCGCGCAAGCGGGCCGCATGGTCTTGGAGTGGCGCGCGAGGGCATCCAGCTCGACATGGCGTCCAGCGGCATCGGTGTTCCTGGGGGTGACGGAGGAAAAGGCATTTCAAACGGCAGCATCCGCGGTTTCTTGGCAGAGCTCAAGATTGGCGACACCAGCGAGGCTGCGACGGAGGCAAGCGGGGCCTGGCGTCAAAACACCACCCCCCACTCGCGCCGATCAGAAGTACGCGTCCAGTGGAAGTCCTGGAGTGGGGAAGGTCTTAGGGCCTAAGACCTGGGGACGAGGCTCTTCCCAGAGAAGAGCCTCCTTCATCTGCAAAGGACCCCCGATGAGTGACCCCCTCGCCTGGACCTCCCCTCCGGTCCCTGGGGCGACGGGAGTGAAATGGGGGAATGGAGGGAAGAGAGAAAACGCAGCGAGGGAGGAGCAAGGGGAGGGGTACGTGGGGGGAAGAGGAGCGGCAGGAGCAGGAGTTTGGAAGCTGAGAAGGAGCAACACAAGCAGGACGACGACAAGGGGCAGCAGACGACAGTGGAGGAGAAGGACGACCAGAGTGACTGAAGGTTAGCGAGGGGCAAATAACGACCAGAGGGAAGAGGGACGATGGAAGCATTGCTCGACGATCATTTGTCTAATAGGCCCCCGGTTGTATTCGGTGTGCAGAACCGTCAAACCCAGAAAGCTCCAGGCTCCCCAGTGAGCCGCATCGCTGATGCATCGCCGATGCGGACCGATATTGCGACTCTATCTACGCGGACCTCTTCTTAGGAGGCCTGGATGCAGGTATCGGCGCTCTGGAAATGCCTTTCCACAATTCGACAGAAGATACCAGGACACGGGTCGGCTGCGCGTAAGAATGGCCCTTCGTCAGAGTGGCTTTTAGAGCTGGCCCTCAGAGGCCCCCCAGCATTTATTGGATGTGTGTTCATGGGTGATCGACCCATGGAAGCTGCACACTTGACGTCACTTTTGTGCGGGGTCACTCTTGTGCGTAGCCGAACGAAGCTCATCGGTGTTCCCCATCCAAGGAATGCCAGACCCGACTCGTCGCCAACCAGGCCGTCCTGTGAAACATGGAGAACATCTCGCCCCCTGGCTATCAGCTGCCTTGGTGGTCTCATCGGAGCCGTGATGCGACCTCGCCCCGACGTAATCGGACGCTTCTTCGAGAAACATCCGGCAACATACTCTACCTTGAAGATGGCAGAAGCATGAATAATACAGTAGCACTGCTGTCTAGGAAATACTTGATCTACATGGGAGCAGAGCGTGACGGTGATGCCGTCCGTTGTGAGGATGCTGTGCGGTTTGGTCATTCCCAAGCGCGCAGCAGATCGGCACGCAATCCCAGTGCCCCTCCCGCCCCCCCGCGAACGCTTGGTCTCGAGAGCCAGACGGGAAAAGGTGGCATGGTGCACCGAGTCATCCAATGCTTTGTTGGACGAGTCCTTTGGAGCATGCATTTCAACCATCGCCCTCGACGCCATGCAGCCAAATGGGGTGTTGCGTCAACGAGACCCTAGACAGCGTGAACAGAAGCAACGAACCTGAGACAACACAGCCGTCCGTAGAAAGAATATGCGACGATGATGGTGATGTTGACGATGATTATGGTGATGCTGATGATGATGATGATGCTGCTGATGCTGATGATGATGATGATTGTGTTGAGCATGTTGATAGTGCTAACGTTGGTGAGCATGGTGGTGATCATGATGATGGTAATGATGAGGCTGATGCTTGTGATGGCGATGATGCTGATGATGACAATGGTGATGATAATGATCATGATGCTGATGCTGACCATGATGCTGACCATGATTGCCATGGTGGTCATGATGGTCATGATGATGATGGTATGATGGTAATGGTGTTGATGATCATGATAATGATCATGCTGATGATGAGTATAATGATCATGAGGATGTTGATGCTGGTGAATCGATGCTGGTGGTGATGATGATGTTCGTTATTGCGGCTGAATCCCCAGCAGTCAATCCACCTCGTTCTCGCGGGTGCTTTCAGTAATCACGTATGGTTTACGTCTTGTTGCCCAAGATATCAACACAAGGAGCAGCGGTGAGGATGGAGCAGGCATAATGATGCGGGAACAATGGGAGGGATGAGACACACTTTGAAGAGGCAGACGAGGAGGAAAGATGAGGCAGGAGGAAGGAGGAGGAGGAGACGCAGGATGAGGTGGAGGAGGAGGAGGAGGGGACCAGAGTGTTGGCAATCTGGCAGGTGTTGGCAATCTGACGGTTCGACTTCACCCCCTGTTTCTGTTGCTTGGCCCGCCTGTGTCCTCTCCTCCATTGCAGCCAGGAAGAGGAGTAGGAGAAGGAGGAAGGGGGGCGGCGGAGGGAGCAGAGCCAGAGGGAAGGGAAGGGAGGACGAGGAGAAGGAGCAGGAGGATCGATGAGGATACAGGCAGGGAGGGAGGAGGAAGAAAACTAGATTGGCCTTTCCCCGACGCCATTTTTTTGTCACAGTGTAGACCCCCAGCGGTCTCGACCCATTCCCCGGGACCAGTTTTTAGTACCGAGCAGTGGTTTGACGGTTGTCGGTGCTCAGCGGCGGCCATTGCAGGCCGAAACCGCAACAACACCTCGCGTCGGGATGTTCCGCACATGCTTCGTGGGCGCTCGGAGCTATCTTGGGGTGGTCTTGGGGCCTCTTGGAGGGACGTTGGCGGGCATCTTGAGGCATCTTGGGCTACATTGAGCCGTCTTGTGCGCCACCACGGGCTATCGTAGGCGCTCTTGGGGCTATCGTAGGCGTCTTGCGCCGTACGGGGCCCTCTTGGACGCCCCAACCCCTCGCGAGACCCTCCGCCCAGACTCAGGGTATGGGGCATGCGAGGGAGGCGAGACGCTCGAGAGGGCCCGAACAGGAGGCAGGTCCTGAGGGCGTGGGCGCACTGGCCGCACGCGGATAAGGATGAGGATGAGGATAAACATGATGATGATGACGATGATGATGGCGAGGATGATGGCGATGGTTGTGAGGTTGACGATGATCATGTTGATGATGATGTCGATGCTGATGTTAATGATGACGACGATGACGATTATGATGACGATGACTGTGGCATGCTGGTGATGATGATGTTGAGGATGACGACGATGCTGATTATGATGATGACGATGTTGATTACGATGATAATGATGATGATGATGATGATGATGATGATGATGATGATGATGATGATGATGACTGTGGCATGTTGATGATGATGATGTTGATGATGGGGACGACGACGATAACGACGGCGATGGTATCGATGACGATGATGATGGTCACGGTGATGATGCTGATGCTGATTATGAAGATGTTGATGATGACCACGATGAGGATGACGACGATGGATGTGACGATGATGGCGATCAAGGTGACGATGATGATGATGACGACGACCACGATGATGGTGGTGACCATGGCGACACGGATGATGATGGTGATGACGATGATGATGAGGAGTTTGATCAAGATGATGTTGATGATGATTATGATGACGAAGGCGATGACATTGATGTTGATGATGGTGTTTGTAATTTTGATCATGGTATTGATCATCATCATGCTGATGAGATGTCGATCATGATGCTCATGCTGATGATGGTCAAGACGATGGTGATGCCGATGCTGTTGACGACTACGATGGTGATGGTGCTGGCGCTGATGCTGATGCTGATGCCGATGATGGCGTTGATGGCGATGACGATGCCGATGACGATTAATACGACGACGATGATGACGATGACGTTGATGGTGACGACGATGATGACGATGATGATTATGATGCTCATGACGACGCCGATAATGACGGCGACGATGACGATGCCAATTATTATGTTGATAACGACGATGATGATATCGCAGACGACGATGATGATGACGACGATGATGGCGATGTCGACGATTGTTACAATGATGGCGACGACGATAACGAAGCCGAAACTGAAGATGATGACGATGTGAATTATGATGAGGATTGTGGTGATGATGATGATTTTCATAGTGACCATGATCACGATGTTGCAGTGGCGATGAGGAGTATCGTAATGATGCGGATGAGGATGCGGGTGCTGATGACGACCATGACTATCAGGATGATAACGGTGCTTACGATTATCATGGTTATGATGATGATGATGCTGATTATCAGGATGATGATTATGCTGATGCTTGTGCTTGTGCAGATGCTGATGATGACGACGATGGTGACGATGACTAGCACGAATCTGATGACGAGGACGATGCCGATGATGATGATGACGATGCTGATGCTGGTGATGTTGCTGATGATGTTGGTGATGATGACGACGATGATGTCGATGACGATGGTGATGATGACGACGATGAGGATGATGATGATGACGATGTTGGTAATGATGAGGGTTGTGGTGACGACGATGACGAACATGTAAATGATAACGATGACGACGGCGATGATGATGTATACCATGATGCTGCTGATATGGAGGAGAACAATGCTGATGACGTCGACGATGACTATGACGATGACGATGACGATGATGATGATGATGATGATGATGGCGCTGGTGATGATGCTTATCATGGGCATGATCATGATGATGATCAAGATCAAGATCATGGTCAGCTTGGCGATGATCGTGATCATGATGAAGGAAAATGATCATGATCATGATGATGCTGATCATGATGATCAGGATCTGGATGAGGGTGTGGATTCTGATTGGGATGACCATGATTATGATGCGATGCCGGTGTTGATGCTGATGCAGTTGACGGTGATGACGACGATGACGATGTTGATGATGATGACGAGGATGAGAATGATGATGCGGAAGGCCTTGCGTAGGATGACGTTCACGAAGGTGACGGCATTGATGAAGTTGATGATTCTGATGGTGACGACGATGATGATGGCGATAATGATAATGATGGTGATGATGACGACAATGACGATGATGAAGGTGATGATGATGGTGAGGCGACGACGGTGACGATGACGATGATAATGGCCATGATGATGACCATGTTGATCATGATGGCGTTGATGATGATGGCGACGATGATTTTGCTGACCATGGGCAGCATTAAGATGATAAGATGACGATGATGGTCATGATGCGCATGATGGTATGCAGGAAGACATGGATGAGGCGGATGATGACGATGCTGGT